AAAATAACATATCATATTGATGGCCAAAATAAAATTGCAGCGTTTTAGGGTTAAATCATCCATGATGATTTGTGTACCTTCTGATTTAGAATTACCTCAAAGAAGTAAATCTAGTGGTTAGCTTTCTAGATCTGGCATAGTTTCTCTGACTTATTTCAGAAGGGTTAGGTTTTCTAGTTGTAATTCTAGGATATGATTAGCAAAGCTTGACTGGCCAAACCAGTACATGCACTGATTCTGCTGCCAAGGCTTCACTGAGAAGGTTTAGGCTCAGAATAATTCCAGTATTCGAGCCTGTACTAGGATACCTCAACTTTTTTGGAAGCCTCTCCTTGAAATCTCACTCTGTATAATATTTCAGAAAAGTGGGAAGAGTTACAGGAGAATTTCGTATATAGGAATTACATGAGTAAAAAAAAAAAATCCCACATTTCCCCAATAATCACTTGTGGAAATGCAAAAATGCTACCTTATTTATGAGACTACCAGGGTTCTCCACCTGTCAGGCCTGACATGGTTCAGCTGCACAGGCCAGAGACATTTTTGATTCTCCATGTGTCAGGGACAAGTGTCACACATACTGATTTGCACAGAAAACCACAGAGAGCACTCTCCAGGGAAAGCCAGCATTTTGACAAGGCTCAGTGATGACTTAGAGCAACAGGGGTAGGAACTATTGTGTGATGTTGTCCATAGACCCATATCATTTGAAATTTAAATTCCTTGTAAAACACCAAGAAAATATGGGTCAGAGAGCTGCTAATGGAGATTCTAGGGAAGGGACTGTCACTAAATCACCCTGAAGACTTAAAAGTGACTGAAAGAGCATTAGGAAAGAGGTCAGTTCAAAAGCTAGCAGTAAAAAAAGAAAAAAAGAAAAACATCATTTAAGAGTCAACACATTGAGGTACTGATGGGGTCAGCCAGTCATTATCTGAATTTTTATCTCCAGGTATGGTTATTACACTTGACATGAGAAAATAATAGTTTCAATGCTTTAAAGGGGTTCCCCTCTTTTTCCCCTCTCTTCAACTTCTTTATCCGCTTATTCTGCTCAACCTGTAATTTAGAAATTGAAGAGAAAGCCTCTCTTGGCTTTCTGCTCCATAGGCTTCGCTTTATCACCAGCTTCTCAGAAGTGCCATCCACTCCACTGCCTCATTCATTCCCCCAAGACCCCTCGCTGTTTGATTTCTGAAACTATTTTCTCAGATATCTCCAGTGAGTCAGTGACATTTCTCAACCATCCGCTGCTCTTACCTGGGGGTAGTTATGTGTGTGTGTGTATGTGTGTTTGGACATAAAGTTATGTATGCTTGTATTCCTTACTACCAATTTGGGAGACAAAGCGGATATTTCTCCAGCTAAAAAGTCAAGTAGAAAGGGGATGTGTTGGGGAGGGGTCCTGAGCCCCAAGCGGAGCTTCCAACCCATCACTAAGCGATGGGTGCAACTACAGCATGACAAAGGCAAAGATGACTGAATCCCCTGATAAAATCAGAGGCTTAAGAAATTGGATTGTGTCTTCTCCCCTTCTTATCCACATGGGGTCTAGAATGTTCTCCTCATACTGTCACAAGAAGGCTCATCTAACTATGCATTGCTTTTCAGCCCAGCCTCGGACCTAGGTTGTCCTTACAAACCCAGCAACACGTGTGGGCAGAGCTTGTGTGAGCATGTCCACAGCTGTTCCAAGACATTCTCTCCTGGGAAGGTGACACAGAGTCTTGGACATTGTGTGTGAGATTGAGCCCTGCCAACGAGCTAATTAAATGTGTTTTTTAAAAGCTCTAAGCTTAGCAGCGAAAGTGGGCGGCTAATTTCCTGACTCACCTATTCAACTCATTTGTGGTCCCAGCAAATACTTACTCTTGTAGGACACACTGCCTGGCTCTGTTTGCAAGCCGTTCCATTTCTTCACAGGGTAAATAGGAATGCACAGAGTAATAGCTTTCTCTCTTGTGTGGGATAACGTTTATGAAGTGGAGTTCAGTTCTTTGTGCAAAAGGAATTGTGGGGGCTTGCCTGGTGGCGCAGTGGTTGAGAGTCTGCCTGCCGATGCAGGGGACACTGGTTCGTGCCCTGGTCCGGGCAGATCCCACATGCCGTGGAGCGGCTGGGCCCGTGAGCCATGGCCACTGAGCCTGCACGTCCGGAGCCTGTGCTCCACAACGGGAGAGGCCACAACAGTGAGAGGCCCACATACCACAAAAAAAAAAAAAAAAAGGAATTGTGGGAATGTCAGAACAGTTTTGAACAAAACTGGATATTCAATTAAGAGCCTTTCCCTTCTAAGGCCCAGAGCTCTCACTGGAAAGGTGCAGAGCCCATCCCAGCCCAGGGTGGACTTTGTAACTGGGGATGTGGGGAAAGAAACCCTGGGCCTTACATCCCTATTTGTGAGCCTAGGAAACCTGTGTGTCTGGGAGTGCAGACAAGCTGCAAGTCATCTTCAAAGCTTGGAAAATCAACAATCACAATAAAACAACAGCCAATATTCAATAGAGCTTCCATGATAGAATTTTCTAATTTAAAAATTACTTTTATTCCACAAAATCCTAGCAAAAGGAAAATGTTGCTAATTAAAACCCCCAATGGAAGTCTCTTTGTTTTGATTAGATGCAGGGTCTTGACTATCCTAGCAGTAGACAGAGGTTACTTAGCAGAGGTAATTGTTAGCCCCTCCTACGACCGCCTGCAAAGGCTGAGGGTGGTGGCAAATGTGAACAGCTACATGCTAGTAGAGAGGACATCTCTGCCATTCTGCCTATCGTGATTAAGGATCTACTCAGCTAGAATAATGAAATTGACTCTATGCCTAGTAAAATGGGAGCAGGCTAATTGTCATGCCAATTCATGACATTTTATATCTGTTGTCCCTTTACCTCAGAGCTAGTTGTTGAATTCAATTCTCCTTTCCCTAGGATAATTTTTAGTAAATAAAACTCTATGCATGATGAATATGGTTTTCAGCCAACTTGTTCATGCTTAGGGTCAGGTTTGGCAAATATCCCACGCGTATGTTTCATGCTTCTTTTTCTCCACATACCCCTTAGCGGTAAATGTTCCCCAAGGATCTCTCATGAACTCTCTTCTCTTTCTATGTACTTTGCCCAGGCAATCTCAGCCACTCCTGTGGCTTTATGTTCCATCTACATGCTTATAACACTTAAAATCTTTCTTCTGCTTTAACTCTGTCCAACTCAGCTTACAGCCTTTTATTTCCAGCTTTCTTACGAAATCTCCATTGGAAATTCTACCTGGCTATTTAAGTCAACATGTCAAAAACCAAACTTACAAAATGCCCCTGTCTACAAACTAATTTATCTTATGCAGCCCATCTACCAACTAACTGCCCAGGGTTGAAACCAAGATGACTCCTTGCTGTCTCTCAAGCACCGAGACCCACCAATTCTCCATCCCAAATATCTTGTGGGTATTGTCACCTCTGCTCTATCCTCCTTGACATTATCTTTTATTCATTCACTCACTAAAGGCTTACTATATTCTAGCACCGTGCTAAGGGCTAGTGACATAGAGGGAAGATGAGAACCAACGAGTAAGTAAAATACAAAGCACGTTGGTCACTGACCTATCAGAACCCAGGGTGGTGGATGTTCAGGGCAGAGCAGGATGTGTAAGAATTTAGGAGACTGAATCTAGGACTCTTCCTGTCTTGGTACAACTCATCTCTTGCCAGAACATTTGGGAAAGCTTCTAGCCACACGTCCATTCTGCCCTCTGCCCTGCTGCCTGAACTTAATTTCAAAAGTTTAAAGCAGATTGTGTCATGGTCTGACTAAAACCCTTCCATTATAGCAGGACAAGTGCCAAACTTCTTGATTCTACTTACAAAACAGTCCAGCTCAGCTTTTCCTCCCCCCAGCACTCTTTTATACAACACAGTTACTAACCTCACGGCCCATGAAATAGGAAAAGAAAGAGCAGAAATGAAAATGCCCACTCTGCCTTAAAAATTTACCATCAGTGTCATTTTCAACCACCTTCTTTTCCCCTTTGGCAATCAACTCAATGGATCATTTTCCTAATGATTGCTGTTCACACTTTGCATGACTGCTTCAAGTATCAAGACACTGAATAGTTTTGATGACCACAGCCAATCAGTGTGTGATTATTTACTGCCCTGGTGTACTCCCAAAGGCTCCATACAGATATGAGGTATATAGTAGCCATGCAGCAGGCTGCCGAAAATGAATCCTTAGGTCTTGCTTTTAGGAACATTGAGTCCATCTTTATAGATGAGTGTGATCTCGAGAGAATGAGAGCCAGGTGCCGACTACCTCTCCCTTCACAGGAATAAGTCGCTGCAACAACATCATTCATTCATTCACTTAGTCGTTCATGCATCAAACAGGAGTGACCCAGGTCTTTGCTGAGGGATCAGGGGTGTGGAGGGGAAATTTGAAAGGCTTTTAAAGATTGAATAAAGGTTTTTTCTTTTGTTTTGGTTTGGTTTTTGGGGGAGCAAGAAGTGTGTGTGTGTGTGTGTGTGTGCATGTGTGTGTGTCTGTGTGTGTCTGTGTTTATGTATTTAAGGAAGGAGGGGAACAGTAGCACTTGGATGGGAAACAAATAGCTGCTCTGGTAAAGTGAATCAAAATGCCAAGGTAATTAAAAAATGACACGAGTTTGGGAAATTACGGCAAGTTCCTTGTGGCTTGAGGGAGGCAGCAAAGGGTGGTTAGGGGGTGGGAGTGGTGCAGAAAGAGATACTGGAAGGTAAAGAGCATGAAGATTATAGAAGACTCGTACCAAGGAGCTCAGACTTTCTCTTGTAAGCAGGGAGGAGCGAGCCCAGAGAAATCTCTAAGCAGGGAAGTGAACAGTCAGATCGTTTTTTGATTAAAGTTTCGGTGCGTGTATAGTGATGGATTTGAGAAGATGAACATTTAATGAGTGCTTTATACAGGTGACCACAACCAAGGACAAGTCCCTGGCTACGTCCCAGCTAACTCTGCGTATCTGTGTGTCTTCCCTAGTGACGGTGTTGGCCATTTTCCATGAACTGCATGTCGACCCCGACCTGTACACACTCTTGTTTGGGGAGAGTGTGTTGAATGATGCAGTTGCCATAGTCCTTACATAGTAAGTACCAGAACTTGGCCTGTGCTTCTTTGACCATGTAAAATATGCTTCTACTTGGTGATAATTCCTAGTGGCTTTAATAGTATCTTTTCTTTTATGTCATAGAGATACAGTCAATTTCTAACTTTTAAGAAATTATTATCACAGAAGAGCTCCAAGAGTAGGAACATTTCATTAGCCACTTAATTTCTAACACCATTAATAAGCTTCATGTTTCCAGCTTATTACAAGATACTACTCAAAGGGTAACATTTTTGTTCTCGGTGTATGTATTTAGCTGATTCACTTAGGCTTCCTAAAATGCCCATAAATAAGCTTTCTTCATTTCAAATCAATATCATTTAATTTTTTTCCTTAAGTCACTTTCCAGATAATAGACTAATAGAAACCGTTGTATTTATACTAATTTTGGCAAATTGGAGATAGAAGTTGAGAGCCAGAATATTCTTTATTTATCAGTGCAAATGTAACACGTTATAGAAGCACACACATTTTAAAATCATCACGTGACAAGTCAAAATGATGGAGTTTCGTCTGCTAAGAGTTAATGTAATTTTCCCTTCATCTTTTCCCCTTTAGATGCTTACCATTTATATTTAATAAATGACACTTTGGTGGCTTTCACTATGTCAGAGGTCTCTTCTTGGTTTTAGATTAAGACCAACATTTTGGGCAACAGTCAGATACCCTAGAGGGAGGTAGCTATCTAATAATTAAATGTGACAACAAGATTCAATTCAGTGTTTTAATTACTTCAAATGCATTTGAAAATGTATTGCAAAGTAACAAAGGATTTTTAAAAGTCAGATCGCCCAGAGGGGAGTAGGAAACAACAGGGCAGCACTATTCTTTTTTTCTGCCAGCTGACATTTCTTAAGGCTGCCACCCTAGAGTTACCACTGAATTCAGCAACTTTCAAGAAAGAGTCTCCAAAAAAACTTATATTTTACCTGGCTACTGAGAAGTGCCTCTCCTGCATTAAAGGAAAATACCAGTGAGTGCAAATTAAGAGCAAAAGCCATGGCAGATTCACAAATGCCAAAGGATGCTTTTAAAGAAACACCAAGAACAATTAATTAAAACATCAGGGATCTTTGTCCAAGATATACTAGTATTAAAGGAACATTTGGAGGAAAACTTTTTAAAAATCTGCTGAGTCCCTCATCTTCACTTCCTGAGCTGCCATGTTGTAAAAAGGCCAAGCAAAGCAAAACGACTAAAGCACAAATGAGCCTTGGGAAAGAATCATGCAGCTACAGCCAAGGAAAGGTTTGGCCTTTCTACTTTCAGCACTACCATGCACAGTAGTTTTCCATTCAAAATGCAGACTCCAAGGATGAATGTTGACACTGTTGAGCACAAGCCTGGGAGGCATTTGAAACAGTCCATTTAAGATCTCCCCAGGTCAATATGTGGTTATTACTGGTAGCGCCTTTTCTACTCCCCTATCCGTGCGTTGCATGTCTTAATAAAATGTGTTTCCCACCATGGCAAGATCCTTTCCTTTCTAGGCACCAGACACTTGCCAGTCTAGCTGAAATCTTGTGCTTCCCAGCTTTGGCATTTCAGGCATTGTGCAGAGTGACCCCAGTGAGTTTCAACTTTAAAATAAAGATAATTCTAAATTAGGAATACTTGACACGGAAGCTTCCACACATTCAAACCTGCAAGCTCGTTCTTCCACCTGGTGCATTTGGACTCCACCAGCCTCTTCCAGGAGCTCTATTAGCGTTAATGTACAGCTGTCCCTCTGTATCCACAGGGAATGGGTTCCAGGCCCCCTGTGGATACCAAAATCCACAGGTGCTCAAGTCCCTTATATGAAATGGCATATAGTACAGTCACCCCTCTCTATCCGTGGGCCCCATGTCTGCTGAGTCAACTAACTGAACCTCGGATTGTTCGATGAGGAACCCGCGAATACGGAGGGCCTCCTGTAACTAGGTTACCCTGGGTCTAGACTCTCGTCCCCCTGTGCCGTCTGTTGACCACTTCTTCTTTCACCTTACACAATCCTCCATGTGTTTTACTCTTCACTTTTCTCACTTGCTTCTTAAGCTTAGTTTGCAGCACGTATGACAATCTCTTTTTTTTTTTAACATCTTTATTGGAGTATAATTGTTTTACATTGTTGTGTTAGCTCTGCTGTATAACAAAGTGAATCAGCTATAGGTATGCATATATCTCCTCCCTCTAATGTCTCCCTCCCACCCTCCCTATCCCACCCCTCTAGGTGGTCACCAAGCACCGAGCTGATCTCCCTGTGCGATGCGACAGTCTCTTTTTATACATCTACTTACACACACATTCCCTCTCCTTTAATGCTGCATCCCCAACTATCTTCTTGTTCCCATGGAAGAACCCTATTTAACAGTTTTCCATGACTTTCAGACCAGGAGTTCAAACATTTGTCTCTCCATTTTTCTCTTCCTTCACTCTAACTTCACATAGTAGCCAGACACATCTCTCTGGCTTGTAGCCTCATGCCTTTCTTCACAGGCGCAAAGCTCTCTTCCCAGGTCCTGCTTCTGCCCCATCAAGTCTTTCACCATGTACCTCAGTCTCCTCCTCTGGGAACCACTAGCTCACATGCTAAAGTCCCTCCTCCACCTCCGTATGTGCCTCCATCGATTCCTTGCTAGGGCTCAGCCATGAAATCTTGGGTTTACACGTATATTTGCTTTTCTAGATAGTAACTTTCTGAAGATGGAGACTTTGCACTTGAAACGTATATTAAAAGAGACAATGAAAACCTCCTTTGTATTTTCCCTTTCTCAGTTCCATCTTCGTGTGGTTTTGAAGTTCAAGAATAGAGGTAGAGCTTTTATTGTACCATGGAAAGGAAAAGACACATTTTGATGTGAAATCAAGTACAGTAAATGACCTAGATCATCAACCACTATGGCCTTGGCAGTGACTCCAGAGCCTCTTTGGAATAGCCACACACTTTCATTTGTCTTTCCATCTTCTACAAGCAAATCTCCTTGCTTAAGAACCATCCTCTTAGTATTTAAAAAAGTTTTATTGTTAGTTTTTTGACAGTAATGTGCTCTAGTATTCCTCATTCAAATACAAAGTGATTTAGCCACATTTTAGATTAAATCAGCTTTTCTGTGCTAATCTAAGAAGCGAACTAATTATAATACTTTTTCTTAGGTTAAATGTGCTCTGAATTTCAGACAACTAATTTATAATTGAATTTGATGACCATAACTCTTGTACACAGCGGCATGTGGTGGGTGGTGTCCCTAAGGCTTAAAATGATCCAGAATTATCTTAAGATAAAAGTAACTTCATTTAACAAAAAAGTTTTGAAATTAGCTTTTCTCTGATCCATGCTATTATTTCAAGTATATAGGGAATGTCATACCCAAATATGTATGTGTATTGGTTCATGAATGAATTCCATGTGATGGATTTGCACTTCTAAAGATTGTGTAATAGACTGTGAAGTAAGGCAAAAGATATAATGAAGACATCTTGAAAGGTGTGTGTTTTTGAATCCTGAACAAAGACATTACTTTCAGAGGCACCATGGTAGGGTAGAAAGAGCCCTAGGTTTAAGTCAAAAGTGGTGGTGTCAGGATTGTCACGAATTAACTGTACAATTATTACAGTTGACATGAAATCAACCCAAACTGGAGTAAACACAAGGGGAGTCTGTGTTGGCTGATGTAACTGAACAGCAGGAGTAGAAATGGCTCAGGAAAGGATCCAGTGAAATGAGCTGAACTCTCACCTCGCTCAGCTTCTTCAGGGTTATCTCCCTCACCCGGTCACTAGATAGTTGCCAGCGAGTCCCAGGGCTGCATCTTTCTTCAGGAGGTTAGAGCAAGAATCTTTGTCCCATTATTCCCAACATAAATCTTAGTACACCTTATAGATTCTGACGCTATTCCAGACCCACTTGTGGCCAGGGAAATGTGCTTCATTTACTGTCTCAGGTCTAAGTCACATTGTTCATAAATTCAGGGCAGTAATTGGTTTTACTTGGAAGCACATGAGCTGAGACTGGAGAAAGATGGGATTCTTGCTCAGAGTAATACTGCCACAGAAAAGGAAAAGTGGATGCTGGTCAGAACCAAAACAAAACAGAACAGAACCTAAAAGCCCACGACAGCGACTTCAAATGGCCGTAAACTCTTCATGCTTGTTTCCTTACCTATAATATGTAAGAATAGTTGTTCTGTATACATTACAAAATTATTCTGGGCAATAAATAAAGCAATATATTTGGAAAGGCTCTATAATCTACATAATCTATGCTTATAAATATATATACTTATTATAATTTATATAGTCACGTATATCAATATCTTTCATTGTACTTACACAGATCTCTCTGGTTTCATTGTTATGACTAAAGATAGACCTGCTTCTAGTGAAGCATTCCTTCATAAATATGGCATTTTATGATCCAAGGAATAGAGAGAATAACCATTTTTACATGTGATTTCCCCCATTAAGAATGAACCACTTAGTTAAGGTACACTGTCTAAAGAACTAGAGGTTGAAGTATATTACTTAAAGTTATATAGGTACTCACAACCAAAATTGATATTACTTGTGGAAGTTAATTGGAGGAGGAGAGAGAGAAAGGCAGGGCTAAGTTACCTAAAATGTCACATCTCTCACAGTAAGAAATCAATATATATGTGTGGAGTTGATAAATCAAGAAATGGAAGTATATACATATTATTTAGAGTCATGGGGCAGCCATCGGAAGAAATAAAACCATAAATGTTACTAGTTGGTTGAGTAAATTATAATATATTAAGATCATGAAATCCTATGCAGACATTTGAAAAATGATAGAAAAGGAGTGTTGATGTTAAAAGATATTCACAATATATTTTTTAAGAAAACAGGAAAAATTTTAAATGGTGTATACTCTAAGATCTATTTTGGTTAAAAAAAATCACAGCCAAATTCATGTGTGTGTATGCATGTGGGTGTATAATTAGAACACATTATCATTTATATACAAAATCAGAGTGTTA